GCTACTTGGAAGGCTGAGGCAGAAGGATCGCCGGAGCCCAGCAGGTCGAGGCTGCGGTGGCCGGGAGCGGCCACTGCACTCCAGTCTGGGCAACAGAGTGAGACTCCAACTCAGAAAAAAAAAATGTCTTAGGTGTTGAGATAGAGGCATGTGAACCGTTTACGGTGCTCAGAAGAGAAAAGGGCAGAGGAAATGGCAGAAGAGAGGAAGTAAGAACCAGGATGGGTGGGGTCTGCCAGCTGGAGGGTGGACACATTCCAGGAGGACAGAACAGTCTTGGAGAAGGCACACATGTGTGTGACATATTTGGGGGACAGCTAGAAGTTGTGTGTGGGCACAGTGTAGCGTCTGCAGGAAGAGAAGCAGGAAAGGAGCCTAGGATGGGGTTGGAGAGGAGATAGAGCCCTACCGGGAAGTCATGCTGAGGGAGCTCTGGCTCCAACCCATTATCCAAACTCTGTTGTAGAATTAAAAAGTGGAAACAAGAGCGCGTGCAGGCAGGAACACTACAATAGTGTGTAACTTCATAATGATAGCAGTCACTTGCAAAGAATCGTAGATTTCAATAGTCAAGTTCATGGAGACAGAGGGTGGAAAGGTGGTTGCCAGGGGCTGGGGGCGGGGAAAGAGGAGTTACTGTTGAATGGGTACAAAGTTTGTTTTGCAAGACGGAGGGCATTCTGGAGATGGATGGTGATGATTGCACAACATGCGTGTTCTTAATATCCCTGAACTGTAGTAAGGTTAAAAATGGTTAAGGTGGTGACCTTTATGTCATGCATATTTTACCACAATGCATATTTTACCACAATTACTTACACACACACACACACACACAGACTGCTGGACTCGCCCACAGTTTCTGATTCAGCAGGTGTGGAGTGGGACTTGAGATTTCCATTTCTGGCAAGTTCCCAGGTGATGCTGGTGGTCCGGAGACCACACTTGAGGAGTCACCGGCTTAGAGACCAAGTGATTAAAGTATGCGGGGCGCCCTGCTCGTGGCCATTACTGTTATTAACAACAGTAGCAACAGCAGCGAGCGTGTGTTCAGCGCTCGCCTCTCAAGCCGGTCTCACGGCTGGGGAAGGAGCCGCAGGCGGGCCGGGCTGGACCCTAAGCTGGCCCTTCCCGCGGTCGCGGCGGATCTTGTCGGTGCAAGCGTGAGGCTCAGAGCGAAAGCGACGCAAGCGGAGCGACAGGCTCAGCAGGGCGGGCGAAGCACGTGGCGGCGGAGGGGACCCGGGTCGCCCTGGGCACGGCGGCGGGGCAGCCCGAGGCGCCCCGGGGGGTCG